CACACTCGCACACACACACACACACACACACACACACACACACACACACACACACACACACACACACACACACACACACACACGCGCGCGCGCGCGCGCGCGCGCGCAACCTCTCGCCTGAATCACTCGACCTCTAGACACATTGCGCCGGGTTTCGCAGTCGGTTTGGAACCAGTGGCACGCCACCCAGACGCAGGCACACATTCAAAGCCTGCTGCTGGGCATGGTGGCCGCCCTGCCGACGGCCGAAATTCGCACCGCCTCCAAGGGCGCAGACGGGGTCCTGCCCATCTTTCCGGATGTCCATTCGCTCGACACCTGCCACAAGGGCAACCTCAGCTGGCAGTACCACCGGCCGAGTGGGGATCCTTCCGCCGGGGCTGACGGCCCGGCTGGCTTGACGGCCGATGGCCGGCCCATTCTGGCCACGCTGCCGAACCCGGCGTTCGTGCATGGCGATGCGGCGCCGGCCCAACCCATGGCCTACCGCCCGGATCCCACGGCCGAGACCACCCTGCCAGCCATCTACCACGGCCTGGGGGTCATCTCTCGTCCCCAGATCCCGGGGTTGGTGGTGCCGGGGTTCCATCTGCCCGCCCTGCCGCGGCTGGCCGAGTCCGATGATGCGGATTCCGACCATGAGCCCCAGGACCTGCTGCCATCCGTCACCACCCCAACCACCACGATGGCGCCCGAGGAGGCCAGCCCGTTGTTGGTGAAGCCGGAACCCCAGGTCCTGCCATCTAGCGAGCTGATCGCCTCATTGGACCAGCGCTTTGGCTTTGGTGTGGCGGTCATCCCGCACGCGGCTTGCTCCATGAGCAAGGTCCCGGGCGCGGCCTACGTGCCGCTTCGTTCACGCAAGACCATGTGTGCGTTTGCTTCCCCTCTTCCTCTCTCTCGCCCCTCTATCGGCCCTTGCCACGCGCTTTCGTTGCTCGTTGTTGATGAGGGGCCGGCCCCGACACATGCGCCCCGGAAGTGCCAGACACCGGAAGAACGTGTCTCGAGGAAAGAAGCCACACTGACACCCTCCCGCCTGCACAGTGTACTCCCCGGAGGAGGTGGCCGAGCGCGTGGCCAAGCGCAAGCGTGTGGCGCGAGTCATGAAGTCCATCTCCAAGGACAAATAGCCGGCCTCTCGCCTCCTGCTCCGGGCCGTGCCAAGCTCCCGGCAGACATCCATTTAAATTCTGGCCATGTTGATTCCGCCGCTACAGCCGCTTGAAGAAGACAAACAAATGACCCGCCAGTGTACGCGGCCCATCGCTGTGCTAGGTCTTCCCTTCTTGAGGGCATACACGTCTCTACTACAAGGGACAGGGGGGGGGGGGAGGAGGGGGCGACAAAACAATACCTTGGACAAGGACAGAAGTTTATACATATGGTACAAGGGGGGAGGGGCGAGAGGGGGAGGGAGAAGGGGAAGGAGGGCAGTAGCCAACGGCGAGGGGACCGGCCCTGATTGGCTACCTGTCGAAAGACGCCCGCGCGCGCCGCGCGGCCCAGGACACAAAGAGGGATGGACAGGAGCCGAGCAAATACTCGAGTGAGCGTGCGCGCCACGGACCGGGGCAGGTCGGTTTGGCCACGCGCGCGCGCACGCACGCACGCACGCACGCACGCATGCACGCACTAACTTGCCGAGGGGGTCGGTGGCTCAGGGGACAGATGCCGGGTGGACATCTCCTGGAAACTCTGCCGGCGAAGCTTAAAGTCAATCTGGGACTGCATCATGTACAGCTCGGCTGCCGACTCGACCGGTCCAACGACCGAATCACCAGCGAAGGTGAAGCCGGCTTCCATGTCAGGCGAGGCTCCAGTATCCATCCCGGCGGGGGGACGTGACGCGGCAGCTGGGCGGCCGTCTGAGGCCGAGGGAAAAAAAAACCCGACACACGTGGGCAAAGGGATAGGCCGATGTTTCCAGAGGGACACCCCCCAAGGAGGAGCAGTCAGTTTCATGATTGCCGGAGAGGGCGCCAGCGCAAAGGGAAGCCACCAAGCAGGCCGCCAGAGCCATTTCCTCCCCCGAGAGGAGGCGGCGCTCCTGCGCTTGACACGTACCAGGACCGGAAAAGGGCAAAAAGAGGGCCGGGCGCTTCTCCATCGGCTCGCTGAAGGGTGGCGGCTGAGGAGAGCATCCCGTGCGGGGGCGAGATGCCGAGTCGCCGGTCGATGACACTCGACCAGCGCGCGTCCGCGCGCCGAACAGCTGTTCTTGCGTGCTTCGCGATTGTGAGGAAGAAACCAATGCCGCGGCCAGGGCCTCCGGCGCCGGGCCGCCAGTGGACGTGCTCGGGGAGGGAATGGCCCCCGGCGCCGGGTTGCCCCCGAGCGAAGAAAGGGACCCGCCCATGGACACGGCCTCCGGGAAGGGATAATGCTGCAAGTGGGGATGCGGCGGAGCCCAGTGTGGCGAGGCAAGGGGATAGCCCTCCGCCGATGCGGCGCCCAGGCCGGAGAACGAATACCCGGAGAAGGGGACCGCCCCGGCCGGGTCGGCAGCCGGGTCATGTGTGGGCGGCGGCACATCTTGCAACCCCGCCGATGGGGCACTTTGCGTGGATGGCGGCTGGGTGTCCTCCTTCGGCAGGATGTCCGACACCCCGGCCGAGGTCAGCCCGGCAGTGCCACTCTCCGATCCCTCAGTGCCTGGGGGGTGCGGCTGCAGGTGCGAATGCGATGGCAGCACCGGGCCGCCACTCTGCGGAGCAGGCAGATGGCGATCATTGGGCTCGGAGGAAGGCGGCGGCGGCGGTGGCGGCGGTGGCGGTGGTGGTGGCGGCGGCGGTGGCGGCGGCGGCGGCGGCGGACCATGGTGGTATGGATGGTGATGATGGCCTACCTGCTGCTCATGGAAAGACCCCGACTCGGTGAAGGCCGAGTCGTAGAAGGGCCCCCGATTGGCCGCGGGGGTGGCCGACGAAAACTGATGATGGGGGTGGGACAAGGGGAAGCGCGATTCGCCCGAGTGGGCCAAGTGGTGGAAGCCAGAGCCCTCGGCATGTCGGTGCCCGGGCTCCGGGGCGAAGGGCGCATTAGGTTGGGCCGGAGGGGCGGGCCGTTGCCCGAAGGGCGAGTGCGAAAAGGGCCCCTGATCCACCGGGTGCATTGGACGCCGATAATCCGAGTACTCGGGAGGCTCGCCCGGGAAAGCCCCACCGGGCCACGGCTCCCCCGGAGCCGCCATGAAAACCCGATCACCGCGCTCATCCAGCGAGGGGGTTCGCCGAACGGCCGGCAGCGAGGAAGACCGCGAGTGTGCGGACGACGCATGCATCGGCGAGCAGGATCTCATCGACTGGATGAAGGGCGAGTCGAGGGCCGGGGAGCATGCCTGCCCCGAGGGGGACATCGTCATGGCCGATGATTCGAAGGGAGACGACACGCCGGTCGCCGGACGAGAGGGGCCCCCGTCGGCCTCCAGGGTCTGCCGCCCAAAGCGAAAGCAGGAAAATGGGTGTCAGTGATGGGGAGGAAAAAATAAAAATAAACCCAGCCCACATTGGAGCATGAGCCACAGGCCGAGCAGGAGCCGTACCGGATCGAAGGCCTCGCCGGTGGCCATCGAGCCAAGCTCATGTCGGAGAGCGAAGTTCTCCTGGGCCAGGGACTCGCAGTGCTTGCGCAAGCGGACCACCTCGGCCTTGAGCTCCTCCGTGCCGACGGTGCTCTTGAGCAGAGTCAACTCCGACCGGAGGTTGTGCAGCTCTCGGTTTTGCCCGCGCGACCGGTTCTGCAACGACCGGATGTACTCGACGGACTTTTGAAGAATGACGCTGTGGGATTGTTTCCCCCCCAATCACATCGGTCAGAAATGGGCGGGACAAGAGGAAAGCGGACGAGGGCGCAGGAGCGACACCCGGTGAGAAGGATCCCCGCAGAGGGGAGGGAAGGACCAACGGCAAGACAAAAGAACCGACACACCTTTTTGAGGGCTTGCGGATCTGGTTGAGCTCTGGCACCAGGCGCGAGAGCTCGGAAAACTTCTCGTTCAAGTTGTCCCGCCGAGCGCGCTCGAAGAAGTTCTGGTTTGCGCGTTTGTCGACCATGGACACCCTGGGTCCGGCAGGACAACGGCGAGCCGCGGCGAGGCCGGCCGGCGGAGGAGGGAGGGAGGATCAGAAAACCGCCGCAGGATGGGAGGAAAGGCCCCTGGGGGGATACACGTACTGCCGAGGGTCACCCATCTCGAATTTGATAACTGGCAAGTGGAGAAAGCCGAGAACGACAGAAGAAGGGAGGAAAAAAGAGAGCAGGAGAAAGGGGCCGGGAAAAGGAGGAGCCGTCGGGCCGAGGGGGGCGACAAACAGTCAGCATGGGCAGCTCAAAGACAAGGCCTCGGGAAGGGAGGGAAGAAAGAGGCAACACGGGACGCCCCCCATGCGCGCCCCCCCCCCCCCCCCCACACACACACACACACACACAGGGGGAAGACGCACACTCGCCAGACAGGGTATGCATGTGCGATACCGGCGACGAGGATACCGGCGGGGAGGATTCCGCATCAGGGGCGTCAGAGCCGGTGCCAGCACCGGCCCTTGAGGGGAAGGATGACGAGGCGGACAGCGAGCTCCGGGCGGTGTTGGGCCCGCCGGCGCGGCCTGGTGCCGCCGAAGTGGCCGACGGAGAGGGCGAGGCGCCGGCCGTGGCGGAGCTCGAAGCCCCGGACGCCGGGGCCAAGCCCCCGGTGGCCGAGGAGGGTGCCGATGAGGCTGCCGCCGGACTCGGGGCGGGGCGCAACTTGGGCAGCAGCTGGAATTGGGGATTCGACGCGAAGGAGGCCGCGGCCGCCATGTACGCAGCCGAGGTGGCCGAGAAGATGCTGGCTTCGGAGGGCTGCGGCCGGGCACTGGCGGCCAGGGGGGCGGCACCGCCGCTGGCATCCGCCCGGAGAGCGGAATTGGCCTGCGCGGTGTCGGAGCTGGTGGTCGGATCGCCAAACTCGGCGGCCGGGGCTTGGGGCCGGTGCCTGGGCCCGACCCCGGGCCCACCGCCATAGGGCGCGGAGGCGGCCGACAGCGAGAAAGATCGCGCCCGCTGGGAGGGCTGATAGCCGGCCGGGAAGTCCGATGGCGACAGGGACCCAACTGGCGATGCGCCCGACACCGACGCCGGCGATTCCGAGCAGGGAGTTGTGCCCGGCTGGAAGCCCAAGCACGGGGTCGATGGGGCCGACAAAACATTGGTCCCATTCGGGGCATTCCCAAACCCGGGGCCCGGGCCCTGACCGGTGGCCAAGTTCGGACTGCCACCCGACACCGAAGAGGGGAAGTTGCCACTTGCACCGGCGGACGCGGAATACCCCTGATGGGGATAGTGCAGGTGGTGGTGGTGGTGGTGGTGGTGGTGGTGGGCATGAGGGTGGTGGGGGTGGGGGTGGAAGCCACCGCCAAAGGACCCGGAAGCCGACCGGGCGAAGGATCGCGACGACTCGGCCAGGAACGAGGGCGACAGGGAAGTGGTCGACGTGGCAAAGTGGTGAACAGCCCCGCGCGAGGACGCCGGGACCAGGGTCGCCTGGCCCATTTGCGGGGGCGTGGGCAGCGGCGGCGGGCGATTGGAATCGCTCCGGTCGGCCACCAGCATGGCGGCCGGGGTCACAGGGAAGGCCTTGGGCGGGGCGGCCGGCTTGACCGCCGGCTTGGACAGGTGCCCCGGCGTGGGGGGCGGCGAGGGCCGTGCAGGCGGGTCGGTCAGCAAACGCCCATGCCCGCCCAGGCGCCGGGGGGAGCTGGTCACCCGGAAGCGCGGGACCCCCTGCGCCACGGCCGCCATGTTGGACGCCGCCAGCAGGGCATGCGGCGAGCTGCCCAGCGAGGAGGTGGCTCCGGTGGGAACCAGTCGCGACAGGGATGGCGTCGGTGCCTGATGTGCCATCGATCCCGAGAAGGAGGAAGAAGAGGAGGCCGCGGTCGAGGAGGACCTCCCCCGGGTGGCCTCTGGGCCGGGTCCCGGGGGGAGGGGCGTCCGGTCATTGTCACCGGGACCCGGGGATGGTGGGGCGCCCGGGTCAAAGTGCGCGTCGAGGTTCATGTCCGACGAGGAGGCATTGGCCCCCGGATCGAAGTAGGCTCCAGGATCGCCGTAAATGGCCGGCCCATCGCCCGGATGCCCGGGGAACTGATCGTGCTGCATGGGGGACGTGAAACTAATGGCGCATGCGCCTTGGGTCAGACACGGGTGCGAGATGCGATGGGATGAGCAATGTGTGTGTGTGTGTGCGCGCGCGCGTGTGCATGTGTGCGAGAGGCCCATACAAGTGCCCGTGACTGCCTGCGTGGGGATGGTGCTGATGACTGTCAACGCCCGTGGGAAAAGAGCCCTCCTGGAAGGAGGGTGGATGGTTGGTGCCATTGTCTTGCCCGCTGGCGCTGCTGCTGCTGCTGCTGCTGCTGCTGCTGCTGCTGTTGCTGCCGCCGCCGCCGCCGCCGCCACCACCACCGCCAGGACCCCCGGAGCTGCCGCCATTCGGGCGCTGGTATGACCCTGGGTGGAAGTGGTATCGATGTCCGGGCGCCAGGTGATAGGTCCCAGCGTGGGGGTGGGATGGACCGGAGAAGTTGACGAAGTCGCCGGGATCGGCTGACCGGCCCTGCCCCGGGCCCTCGGCCTCAAAGGCCATCATGCTCGGGGGCAGGTGTCCGGGCGGAGCATCAACCCCCATGGCCGACGGAGCATGCTCCCCATTGAACGGCAAGTGCATGGGCGGATCGCCCGACATCTGGTCCCTTCCCTTGCGCAGTCGCGCGGAGCGGGCGAGGACGATGCGAGCAGAGGCGAGGAGGGGCGAAGAAACCGAAGGGAGAGGGCGGCGAAAAGGAAGGGGAAGGGCGCAAATGCGGCCGGCGTCTGGTGCAAAGGGAGGAAAGAGAGGAACGAAAGCAGGGAAGGAGGGGGGAGGATATCTACAAACACAGGCAGCAAGGCAAGCGGGACATCCTGCCGTGACGGGCCGGAGAGGAAGATGGGTAGGGACGATGCGCGAGCAGCAGCTGGGGGCGGGGCGAGGGGAAAGGGGAGAGGAGGAAGGGTGAGGAGGGCGCCCGAGGGATCGCAGGCCGAGAGTGGGGATGCTGCCCCCCTGAGACCAGGGGAGAGCTCCCAGAGGACACCCCGAAGAGATGGCGCGCAGGCCGCGGCGCTCACGCTGTGAGTGCCGACGTTCTCCCGGCGATGCGGAGGGAGGGGCGTGGGGCCAGCCCGGCCGGCCTTTCCCGGGGATGGAGAAGGCGAGGAGGAGGCGATGACTATGTGTGCCTGACCCGGCTCTCGCCCTTCGCCCCCAGTTCCCCCCCCTGTCCCTCGGCCCCCTCCCAGGACCAGGGGACGGGGGGGGACCAATCGGCCAAAGAGCGCACGACACCAATCGGGCGAGCAAGGGGGTGGGCCCAGAGTCCCCCCCCCCCCCCGCCCCGCGGCCCCTTCTTTCGCCCAGCCCCGGGAGCATTCATTTATCCGCGGCCTGTGGATCCCACCCAGAGGGACAGGGGGGAGTCCCGGCCTTGACCGAGTTCTGCCCGGACCGGGCGGCTGAAGAGCCATTTTTATCCTCAGCCGTCCCCAACCGGGGTGGGTGTTCCGGGGCGGGGGGGGGGGGGCTCTGCGTCGTCGGGTGGGGGAAACTCCTTGGGAGCTTCAGCGACCGTCGCTTTTCTTTGAGCATTCTTGCCCACGGGGCGGGGGCTTGGGGTGTGGGGGGGGGGGGGACAGGAGTGCCCTCGCCACCACCACAGGGCCACTGAAACACCCTCCTGGACGCCGGGACGCCGCTGAGAGCGCGACCAGAGAACCACCGGGATCGAGGGCTGAATCCCGGCCGCCACGAAAGGCCACCGCGCGAGAGCACAGGAGAACAAGGAGGCCCCCAGGACGCGGGACAATAACAAACCTTGGAACTCAGGAGGTATCCCCAGGCAGATCCCTCGGCGCCGGGCATGTGTGCATGTGTGCATTTGTGCCCCTTCTCCACAGGGGACGGGGGCACGGGGAGGGCAGGCGCATATTGCGCACGCACGCGCGTGGGCAAACCTCCAGGGGGGGAGGGGGCGCATCGACAAGAGTGTGGGGCAGATCGCGAGTGCTCCGCCGCCCCGTCCAAGCTGCGGCTGCCGGGCAGAGCGCGGAGGGGGGGGGGGGGGGGGGGATCGACCCTTCCGGGGCGGAGGAATTTTTCGGGACATCTCACTGAGACGGCGCGACAATTCTCGGCCGGCCCCTCCGCCCGAGAAGAGAGCCCAGGCACACGCGCCGGGAGCGGTCCAGTCCGCCACGCGTCATGGGCGAGGCACCTCTTCCACCGGACGACACAGGCCCGAGGCCCCCAAGGGCGGGCGGGATGCTGCCCTGTGGTGGAACAGAAAATGGGGGCACCTCACCTGACGGCAGACGAGAAGGATCGGCCACGCTGGTCGGCTGCGCAATAGGCCCGGGTGTGGCGAGCAGCGGCCATCGCAACCGCGCGCACAACTACCTGCATATACATACAGACACACGCACGCAGGCGCACGCGCATAAGCATCCCTTGAGGGCGCGCTCGGAGGGGCGGATAGTTGCCAACGAAAGTATCCTTTTAGGAAACCACGCCCAAGCCGCGAGGAGCAGCCGGCACGACGGGCCACAAACCCGCCACACGCTCCTGGCATGCTGACAGAAGAGGGGCAAGGCAGGGGCAGCGGCACGCGCGCTCAGCCCCGCCCCCCCCCCCCCCCCCCCCCTCCCAGCTGCTGGGGCGCCAAGACGGCGGATGCGGAGACCCCGTTCATCCCCCCCCCCCTTCTCTCCCCCGCGTACTTCGCTCGCGGAGCGCCGGCCCGCCCGGGGGGGAGGCCCATTCCAGAGCGCCGTAGACAAGGGTTGACCATGAGATTCGCAGGGGCGTGTGACGCGCGTCCATGTGATCCCATTCATGACTTGCCGCCCCGCCCACTGCCGCCGATCGGCTACGTCGGCAGCGCATGGTGTTGCCGGTCAGATCCCTTCCCTGGCCTGGTGACCTCGCTGTGCCGTCCCTTCCGCGGATGCCGCCCCCGTTGCACCCTCGGATGCCTGATTGCCGAGCTGCCCCGTCTCCGGGGGGGGGGGGGGGGGGGTCCTTGCATGCAGGCGTGTTGACCCTCCTCCCCCACTCCACAGGACCCCTCCTCCCGCCAGCGGAGAGGAATGTGCTGCGTAGACTCCGCCTCTCTGGTGGGATCCCCTGCTTTGGGGAGTATCTCCCCCCTCGCGCCTCCTTCCTGCAACAGTGACAAGATGAAGGTGTTTTTCTCCACCGGCCCCGGAGTGCCCGAGGGTCCCGCCCCCCCGAAGGCATTCCCCTCTCTCTGCTCCCCTCCTCCCCCCTCCCTCCGACATACTCCAGCCCCCTACTTTCGGTCTCCTCGCCCATCTTTGCGTCTGCTCGCCCGGCAACACTTTGTCAACCTGGAAGATGACCTGCGATCTTGTTGATGACATTTGGATCTTTGGCTGTACACGCGCCCAGTCCTGCTTTTTCATCACCTCTTCTTCTGCCTCATTCTGCCCCTCCCTCCTCCCTTGACATTTAGCTGACATATACACACACACACACACGCACACACACACACACACACACACACACACGATCACCCACTCACGCGACATGATCTCCAGATGGCAGCCTGGTCTGGAAGACCGGCTTCCACTTTGCTGATTCGTGCGCCGCATCCCTCCCATTGCTTATATGGCCTGTGCTCGCCCAGGACTAACATCCAAAACCCCTGACGCTATGTCAGCCATGTCGGGCACATCCGACACTTCCAGCGCCGGTTCTGGCAGGTACGCCTCCGGTGGCGAGCCACAGGAAGAAGTACTCCCTCTCCATCGTCTCACTCCTTGCCTGTGCCATTCTCCCCTCCCCTCCCCCCCCCCTCCTTCCCTGCTAGCGGAGCACCGATCACCGCGGCACCGAGGAGAAGCCCGGTCGCGTGGTTACCCTGATTCCGGCCCCCCTGGAAGAAGCCAGTGTGCGTGTCCACTACCTGTGCCAGCTCTGCCCGCCGCCGGCCCATCCTCTTCTCGGGATTTCTCCCCTCACCCACCGACCTCCACTTTCCGGCTTGCCATCCAGCTTGTTTGGGGTGTGGCCTATCGCATCCCGGCCAGCGACTGGCCCAAGATCAAGGAGTATTTGGACTACCGGGAAAAGGTGCGCCTTTTTTTTTCTCGCCCCCTTCAATCACGGCACCTTCTTGGAGCACGGGCATCGGTACATGCACATCGGCGCAAGCCACTGCGCACATGCCTCTCACATCTGCCGCTGCTGCTCCGTCCCAACGCCAGAACGGATACGAGACCCATACTGTGGCCGTCTACGCCAATGAGGGTGATACATGTCCCCTGGTCGAGAAGGTACTTTGTCGTTGCCTGTCCTATTCACGGCATTTTTTTTGGCGCTGGTTGCCTCTAACCCCTCATCTCCGGACTTGTCCCCTCCCTCTCTCGCACATGCAAATATGTGCCCGTGTGTATGTGCTTTCAAATACCGATCCACACGGTGATAGGCCATCATCTACGTGGCCACTGAGGACAACCCCGAGTACTTGGGACCAGACTCGGAGGAGTCGATCGCCAATCAGATCGCCCATAGTGTCGGTATGTTCGGTCGCACGATATTTTGCACGTGCACATTAATGCCTCGGCCCCGGCCTTGGCCCCGGTCCCTGTCCCGGCCCCTAATCCCCCTCCTCCTCCTGCCCCCCTCCGATGAAGGCCCATCTGGCGACAACTCCGAGTATCTGTTCCAACTCCAGAACTGGACCATCCAGCACCCGAAGACGCGTTGCGCCCATATTGATCGTTTGTGTGAGCTGGTCCGCGCAATCCAGAGCTAAAGAGCCGAACGCCGGCGAGAACATCCCCCCCCCCCCCCCCCCGATCATGCCGTGGGCCCGAGAAAAATCCCTACAAGCACTCATGGGGCTGCCTTTTACCGAGAAAAATAAAAACCCTACGTGTGTATGTGCGAATGTATATGTGTGTGTGTGTGTGTGGCAATTTCACGCATTGAGAGGGAGATAGAAGTACATGAAAAGGGGCAAGAGAGGCGAGGCATATGAATCACACCACACACAGGCGACAGAGAGAGAGAGAGAGAGAGACAGGAAGAGAGAGCAAGCGAGCGAAACTTGGGGATACAACCACCCAGGAAGGGGTACCCCCATGCCAGGGAACTTATTCGAGGAATGAAACCACAGGGCGAAGGAGCTTTTAGCGACGGTTGCGCCGGCTGGAGCCAGTCCGGCGGCCACGCTTGCCACCACCATTGTTGCCGTTACCACCGCCGCTGCCACCGCCACCGCGCTCTGAGGGGGAGAGAGAGAGAGAGAGAGGGAGGGAGGGAGGGAGAGAGATGCAACGGAGATGTGAGCTTGGAAGGCATTGGCAAAGCAGAAGCAAGGCCAGGTGTTCAGGGAAACGTACTGCCGATGACCGGGGACAGGGATACCGTGACGACCATACCATCGATCTGAGCGCCATTCATATGGTAGATGGCCTCAAGGGCCTGCTCGTGGGTCTCCATGACAACGTAGCCGAGGCCACGGTGAAGGCCGGCTACATGCGCAAAAGGGGGCGAGGGGGCGGCACACGCATGCTGCATGTGAGTCACGAAAGCAGAGAAAGGACAAACAAGCAGGACACAGGCGAAAAGGGCCCCGAGACCCGGGAGGGGGGGGAGGGAGCCGTATTTGGCGAGGGGACCGCGCCATGTAGCAAGCCAGAAGCACGCACGCTTGTCAGAAGGAATATCAATCGAGGAGACGGTGCCATACTCGGAGAAAATCTCCATCAGGTGCGCGCGCAGGACGTTGCGCGAGATGCCATGGACAATGACACGCTTGCAATTGGTGACCGGCTCGGGCGACCGGGACCGAGACCGGGACCGGGACCGGGACCGAGACCGAGACCGGGACCGAGACCGGCGGCCCGGCGACCCTGCAGCAAGTGAAGCACAAGGAGCATGGCCAGCGGGAGTACGTCAGAATGGAGAAGAAAGCAGCAGGAGCAGAATGGGCAACACTGGGGGAAAAGAAAAAACAAGCGGCCCAAGGCAAGGTGCTACACAATTGAAACGATGAAATAAAAACGGGCGAGCGGGAACGAGGGAGGGGGAGGAGATGACGCACGGGTGCGCATGCCCGGAGAACGCGACCGCGACCGCGACCGCGAGAAGGAGCGGGACCGCGACCGACCCCGGCGCGGGGACATGGACCGCGACCGGGAACGGGAACGCGACCTCGAAAGGGAGCGAGAGTGCGACCGCGAGCGAACATCACGGCGAGATGGGGAAATGGAGCGGGAGCGAGACCGCGACCGCGACAAGGACCGCGACCGAGACCGCGACCGCGACATAGACCGTGATCCGGAGCGCGAGCGCGAACGCGAGCCCCAGCGGCCCTCACGCTCGACGTCGTCGGGCGACCGCGAGCGAGACCGCGAGCGAGACCGCGAGCGGCCCCGGTCTTCTTGAGAGGGGGACGTCATATCCGTGTGAACGCTGTGTGACCGAAGCTTTATCCCCAGGGGAAGCCAGAGGAAGGCAGGACGGAGGCAGGACAAGGTAAGAGGCCGGGAGGAGGGAGGAGGGAGGAGGGAGGAGGGAGGAGAAGGACAGAGAAACGGGTAAAGTGCGAATGGGGGAGGATGAATACCGAGAAGGAGGCAAAACAGGCGGAACGGAGAGTGTTGCTAGATGGCTGGGTGCCGGCCTGGGACGGGGTGCGGGCCGAAGAACGCGGCCCCCCCTCCCCCGCTCAGTGCTTGGCTCTCCCTCTCTCTCTCTCTCTCCTTCTCTCTGAAGGAGCAGACTCCAGAAAGCCCCAGAGACCTGCGAGCGGGGGGCCGACTCAATCGACGGACGGTGTTCCTCCGCTGGGGGGGGAGGGGGACGACAAGGGGCCGGGGGGGTTAGACGCTTGTAAAAAAAGATGGGCGGGAAAAGCGCGCGCGTTGCGCGCCCGGCCCGCTCCGAATGCGTCCCGCCCGAGGCTGGCTCGGGCCCCTTCCACCGAGCACCGGGGACAAAGGCTGGCGGATGAGAACGGCCCAGAGGACAAGGCCGAGAGGCACCCTCCGGAGGCAGGAGGCGCGGGTATCCACTGTTATTTGCGGGAAAAGGCTAGAGCCGATTCCCGCCATATCGGCACGTGACGCCATAATGTCATTACGTCGTCTCCCATGTGCGGCAGCCGTGTTCGGTGCAGGA